ACTGAGGTGCCCAAGAGAACCAGGATTTGGTGGATGACTGAGGTGCCCAAGAGAACCAGGATTTGGTGGATGACTGAGGTGCCCCCCAAGAGAACCAGGATTTGGTGGAAGACTGAGGTGCCCAAGAGAACCAGGATTTGGTGCATGACTGAGGAGCCCAAGAGAACCAGGATTTGGTGGATGACTGAGGTGCCCAAGAGAACCAGGATTTGGTGGATGACTGAGGTGCCCAAGAGAACCAGGACTTGGTGGATGACTGAGGTGCCCAAGAGAACCAGGATTTGGTGGATGACTGAGGTGCCCAAGAGAATGAACTTCACAGCAAAATATGGCACCTTAGACAGCAGGGTCAGCTGTGCCTCCAAACTGAAAATAGAACTGTAACCATGGTGATGAATGTAGTAAGGTTGGTGTATCATACACAAATTGTTACACAGAACCCTGACTCGAGCTGTACAAGATGTGTTCCATTATCAAGGGGAATAACAGTAGCCCAACCAAGACAGTGTAGTAGGTTTATGAGTTAAGTGTAGTGTTTTATTCAGTATGTAGCAACAGGCCCATACACAATTTAACACATATTTACAGAATTTTCCGATTCGCTGTTTCTTTTGTGAACATATTTGTCAACTGATGCGTTTCATAAGTATTTACATAAATTTATTTACAGTGATTCATCGTTTGAACATGAAAGGGATTTGAACTTAAATGTTATTATGGCAATACAGTATGGAGGGTAAATATTTGAATCTTGAATTGTTATAATAGGAACAAACCAAAATAAAATAATGCTGAACTTCTGTGTAAAATAATGAGAAAAAATCCAGAGATCTTGTCTCCCAGCCGACAGAATATCATATTTTAGTGGTGATACAGATGTGCTTGTCACTCTCAACTCTACTTGTTGTGTTTCATAATGATATCTGACCTCCCAGTGCCATATTTGTATCATGTCACATGTCACTAAGTGTTGTCATGTATGGAAATTCAGTGAGCCATGACACATAAGTCTAACAGTTTACAGTGTAAAATATTCATAGAAATGTTCTCATTTCTGTTTATACATATTTTGATTCAGCCCAAAGACAGCAACACTAAAACTTGGATGTTTATAGTATGTCTTCTTGTACTATGTTTGGAGTGGAAGGAAAGTGCTTCCAATATCAGCCTTTTTATTGAGATGATGGTCTATTGAATGCAGAATTACTCTGAACAACTAACAGACTCTGCCCTGTTTTCAAGAGAATATATGAATTATTGCAGGATTGTAAGGTGGATTATGTTGGATTACTATTCAGACGTGTGGGATGTAATGGTTTAGTAGGTAATAAACCATTCAGTTAATGCCTATTACAGGTTGGGTGTGTTCTCCAAGTGTCACCTTAGTAGTGTTTAGGGAAGATGTATGAAGTATTAAGTAGTGGTTAGGAGAGTTGTTTGTAGCATCATAGCACATCTGTTTATATTTCGGTTGATCGTTGACTGACCAGAATATATAAAGAAGCTGAAAAACAATCTTAAAAAATATTTAGATTAGTCAGAACCAATTATATTTGCATTACCAGATTACTGTTCTGGTAATGCAAAATGTTGTGTATGTTAGTTTTAAAAAGAATTTACCTAAAATATCCAAGCTGTAAGGTAAGCAGAAAAATACCTATACCATTAAAATATTGTGGCCTTATGCAACATTTCTGTAAGTAACCTCAAGTTTGTAATATTTCTAGTTGGTTTCATACTTTGATGTAAAGAAGGTATGAATGAATGCACTTTAAATCATTCCTCTCTTACCTGTAACACTAGGACATATGTGTTGTTTTTAAAACATTCTATCTTTATTTGGCTGTTATGTTTTACTCCTAATGCTTATATAATATATCTTTGGCTGTGTAGATGTTTTTGATATTGCCAAATGAAGCAAGTGTAGTTTTGACATATATGTTCCTTCTTCTGATAAAAGCTTTTTCTTAACTCATTAGGATTTTAGAGTTCGTCTTCAGTATGTATATACAGGATTTCTTGTTCACAGTTCAAAAATATGTTTGTATAGAGTTAGTTGAACACACCATTATAATACTGATGTATCATTTTAGTCATCGCTTTAACTGGTCCCAAATATGTTCTGTTAAATACAGATAAATACCTGAACTAATCCTCAGTCCGGTGGTGCTGCCTTTGAATGGATATAATATGAGGGTGAGAGAGTTTGGTTTAACGCTGCCTTAAATATCAGGGAGGGACACCAGAAATGGGACTCACGCATGGTACCCATGTTGGGAATTGAACCTGGGGTTTCAGCATGGCGAGCGAACACTTTAACCATCAGGCTACCGACCACCCTATAGTATGAGGGTTGTCTGTATTTAACTGAATGAAAGTGCTTTGATTGGCTGGATTTCTACAGTGTTATGGTACAGAGATAGACGATAATGTCCCTTACTAACCTCCTGGTTGCTTGTCACAAGAGGTGAGTGAGTATGGTTTTATGCCATTTTTAGCAATATCCCAGCAATATCATGGCTGAGGACACCAGAAATAGGCTTCACACATGGTACCCAACAGGGTCATTGGCGTGATGAGCGAACGTTTTAACCACTAGGCTCTCTCCTACCCCAATAACAGGTGGCTGACTTGGTACCATATAAGGGTTCTAGGTTTGAACTGGTCCCAGCAACCTGTGCTGGGAACTTATACACTAACGGTATCAGGTGGTCAGGCTCGCTGACTTGGTTGACACATGTCATCGTATTCCAGTTGCATAGATTGATGCTCATGCGGTTGATCACTAGATTGTCTGGTCCAGACTTGCCCCCATATAGCTGGAATACTGCTGAGTGTTGGATTAAACAGCAAACAACAACACTCTAAATATGAATCACTGGATTGTCTGGTCCAGACTTGCCCCCATATAGCTGGAATACTGCTGAGTGTTGGATTAAACAGCAAACAACAACACTATTACTATGAATCACTGGATTGTCTGGTCCAGACTTCCTTGTGTAAAGGCTGCCATCATATAGATGTATGATGACAAGCAGTGAACCACGTCCCCAGACCACCTCATCCACTGAGTCACCTCGTACAACAAGCACTTGTTCCTGTAAGTCGGAGTGCAAGGAGGGTGTAAGTAAGGCAAGGAAAACATAAAACCCTCCTCTACAACTGACCCATATAGCGGCAGTAATCAACATTACTTGTGTTTTATTAAGACTGGGGATAAAAAAGACAGGTTCTTCTGTCAGCCTTGAACTTTTGTCTAAGGAATGTAAGCAGACGAGAATGGGAGTAGTGGAGTCTCCATGGGATCGCTGATCAGCGGTGACATTTATGGTTTTGTCACAGGACTAGTGGAACCAGCTTGACCTTTACCATGCCATTCAGAATCGTGATTACAGTTTTACTAAGGGAACTTCTTGAAATTTAACCAAAATATGGCACCAAAATTCTACATAATTTGTATTTTTATTATTTATTTATTTTAATTTAATTTGTTTTCCCTGACTCTCTGTTACAGTGGTTTGCTTCTAGAATGGGAAAAGATGTTTTAAAATTTATTTTGAACCCATTTACAAATGTGCTTTGGTGATTATATCACTCATTGTTATAATAATTAAAGAATAAAATTAACATTATCAAAATGTAAATTGGCTGCAAAGAGTGATATGATTCATGATTCTTTGTTTGTTATAAATTATGTTCTTGAACTGAGATGTTAAACAACAATTCTAGCACGACATTGTGTGATACTCGATTCTGATTGGCTGAGACCTCATCAAAACGGTACTTAAATGGCAGTTTAAGACCGCTAATTAAAGTGACCGATTCACCGCGTATGAATACAACGAACTCGTTGACCCTATTGTTTGTAAACACACATGTCTGACATCGGCAATTTCTACCTCGGCAGCATCTTTGGTGTTTTTTAAGTAAAAAGCGAATGGTTTGAAGAAGAATTTCTTGACCCTAATCCCAGAGAAGAAACTACGAAGCTGGAAAATCCGTCAGCAGCGTAAAAGCGGCAGTATATTCAAAGCGGGTCCAGATCTACGTGTGTTGACGTCGACAACACACGTCGGCCCACACGTCCTAACCTGACTGCTTCCGTCCCGGCCGTTATGCCCAGTCCTTCCACTTCTACTGTCCATGTATCCCACATAAAACGTGGCATGTCAGGTCTTTTCCAAATTGGAAATAGTAGGGTGGTTATCAACAATTATTTCCGTGAATAAAGTTAGAGGCGACTAAACTTAGCGAGTTCACGGCTTGCATGTGGGCGAGTCGATTGTCATACAGTAGGGGAGATCAATTATTCGCTTGAGAAAAATCAAATAATTGTACTTGCTCACAGTATAAACTGTATTTTTATTTATTTATGTATGCTACTTGTTACAAATACAAGCATACTGGTTCCTGAAATATAGCATTTATGTTGTTGAAAATGTCTTATTTTGTTCATTACACAACCTGTCCCTCAACGGGACAGTTCCAAAGCGATTTCCAGGAAAAAGGCCCCTTTGAGCCTTGTGTTCCTGCTGCCAAACAGTTCGGTTTTAAAACGCTTATCAGTCGTGCTAGAATGAAGATAAAGCTACTCTGTTTTCAATTTAAAGTTTTCAACTCTGTTTTTAATTTAAAACCTCACGCTAACGCGTTCGGTTTTTAAATTACATTTAGCGGTCTTAAATCAACGATAAAGGACCGCAAAATTGAAAACAGAGTAGCTTTATCTTCTAATTAAAGTTAGTCCTTCTAAATATGACTTTTTGTAACAATGTTCTACAATATTTCCTGTATTTGAAGTCAGATATTTGTTTCATGATAGTCCTCAGTATGGATACAGAAGCTATTTGAATAGTTAAGACTTAGTTGTGATGTTGGTAGTCTTCTGAACTGTTGACTACCTTCTCAGTGAGCTACAGTGCTGAGGTTGTATTTGTTATTTGTGCTTCTGAGATAAAATTACAGAATTTTTATGGCTTTGATTATATTTGCTATTTCAGCTTCCATGTCAGCACACATCCTGTGATTTCAGAACTACAAGCCGCCATGATGGAAGCTCACAGGAACTGTTGATTCAGGTCAGAAGAATAGACAAAAACAAATGATCTTTTGCACTTTAATCACACCCTGAGTTTCTTCGAATTGCTGGCTAGAAGATTGTCTTTAAAACTGAATTATACTTTAAGCATGGGACTGTACTCAGAGGGCTGGTGCCAATTTTCTCTCAAATTGTAATGAGCCCTGGTTGAAACAGATATTTTCTGTGAAATGTTGACATAAGTATGCTGTTTAAAAGATATACACAATAATTAACTGGCAGGGACATTTGTTGGTGTTTGCAGCGACTACCAATTTGCCTGAACATAGTCTCCCCTTATAAAATGAAGCCAGTGTTTTGTTAAATTCATTTTCTTAATTTAAGGGAGGCAACTCTTTTCATACATGTGTTTGTACCAGTTTCCTCCACTATTGGTTTGGATTTGCAAAATGCATAAAATTATAGATTTCACAAACTTTACTTAGTCGATTTTGTTAAAGCAGGTTTATAGCTTTAAAAATCCTAATAGAATATTGATACAGCTTATCTATGTTGACAGTCGTAGCTGCTTTGCAATGCCCTTGATTTATTTTTCTTTATCTGGCAACCACATTAGTTTTTGAAAAGGTTTGTGAATAATTAAACGACCTTAATATCTTGAATGGAAATATGCACTTAAATGGTTAGTCAAATTCCATTTAAGATAATGCTGAACACTGAAAACAGCTACTGTGATGACTGTCTGTAGACAGGCAGGCAAGTGTGAAGCCCAGCCCAGCCCAGGGATAAATGTTAGGAGCCATGATACATGGTAACAAGTGTCCAAGCTTGACCACTACATAGGTTGTACTGGACCAAGGGTTTGCTATTTAGTCACCTCTTCACCAACAATGTGTGGCTGAGACACATTCTAATGCAGGCAAATAAGTTTTACCATAAGGTTTAGAGAGACAAATCATTCTCATAGCTTTACAATAAACTCTACAGATATAGATTATGATTACTCAAGGGTTTAACTACTTGTTTCAGTTAACAAGTTCACTGTCCATAAGGCAGAAGACGCCCACAGGGTTTTACCTCGATTTACAGACATGTGGGTCCCGGAGACCTCCAATTATTAGCTTTAAGGGTCTTTGATATGTGGGTCCTGTAAAGTAGAGAGTGAGTTTAGTTTTACGCCGGATTCAGCAATAGTCCATCTATATGGCGGCGGTCTGTAAATAATTGAGTCTGGATCAGACAATCCAATTATCAACAGCATTGGGAACTGATGACATGTGTCAACTGAGTCAGCGAGTCTGACCACCTGATCCCGTTAGTCGCCTCTTACGACAAGCATGGGTTGCTGAAGATCAATATTCTAACCCGGAACTTCACGGGTATCCTTTGAAGAAACGGTGTAGGGAACTCTACGTTTTGAAAATTTCTATAGAGCCTGGAATGAATTGTTGATCATGTGGACTGATGGATGAAATGATGTATGGAACTGCTCTGAAAGAAAGAACCAACACTTACCAGAGTCACAGATGTGTTGTGGGTCAATCTGGACGCAGTGAATTGTTTTTCTGTGTCCATTCTCAACACTTTTTCGTACTGGATGCACATTTACGTGTCTCATAAAACCCTGCACCCAGTTAACCGCCTATTGTTCACTTTCAGCTTCAAATGAGTGGTGGTTTGGGTTAGGATTGATCCAGTTGTAGATTTCGTGTTAAAATTGAACTACGTGGGGATTGTGGATGTGAATTGAACTCTTCTTGTTGTACAAGGTGAATCACTTGATTAATTGAATGTCACAATACCCTGATGGAATAGATCTTTGCTCGTGATATCAGTCACTGGGTTGTCTGGTCCAAACATGATTTATTAATTTATTGACAGGCTTTTCATCTATATATGGGTACAGAGTTTAAACACAAAGAAAAACACTAAACTTCAGGGTACCTTTGTTCAACAAGATCTAACTGCTAAGGTGACCGTATCTCCCATACCAGGTGGTACCCAGGTTCACAATGGTACCCAGGTGGAGTACTAATGAAAGTCAACAGTCCCATCAATTTGTTCTAAACAGTATCAAACTCAACACTGCAGAAAGAGAAGAGCACTCACTTACTCACTTACTTGTTTACTCAAACACTCACTCGCTCACACTCACTTACTCGCTTACCCACTCACCCACTCAAACATTCGCTCATGCTCACTCACTCACTCACTCACTCACTCACTCACTCACTCACTCACTCACTCACTCACTCACTCACTCACTCACTCACTCACTCACTCACTCACTCACTCACTCACTCACTCACTCACTCACTCACTCACTCACTCACTCACTCACTCACTCACTCACTCACTCTATATAAGTAACCACGAGCAACTACAAAATACAATATGCCCAAACCAAGCATTTGTGAACACAGAACATTTCCTCCATGTTATGGCAATAACTCTGTTATTGAACCTTTACCTTTAAGAAATACAGATTCTTGGCGCTATAGCCTCAGTTCAGCTGCGAGCCTTACTCATCTGCCAGATCCATGATTCCACATTAAGCACGTTTGCATATATTATGATTAAAAACAAATGGCCAAGTATTCATAGAGACACCTGTAATATATATGTTCATGGTATTAGGTCTGTGTAAACAATCAAGTCTTAATTAGCATGGTATTGAGGTCGTGCTGCAAATAGCAATATTTCATCTTGTCATCGATGGATTGCCATGTGCCACTTTTTGCTATGTAGTGATTGTTCAATCAATCATTGTGCCCAGGTTGTCTGTTTAGCTCATAAGAATATTACCCAAACAGAAATGATGTTTTGGGGGAACTTTGATGTTACAGCCTATGTTTGGGTAGCCAGTAATAGGTCTGACAAGTACTGGAGTATTTGCATTGATCGGGACTAGTCTACATTATAAATATAAGATAGTCTAAGGGACCGTTCATAATTTATGGCAGGGGGTGTGGGGTAGTGTGATGATGATTTTTATGGAGAAGCATTACAGTGTGAATGACCTCCCCTTAAAATTTATTTACAAAGTAAGTGACCCCCCATGCATGTCATGTACAAAATCAATGATGACCCCCTAGTACATGTGTACAAAATTGATGACCCCTTCTACCTGTGCAGAACAAAATGGGTGACCCTCATCATAAAAACCCCAAAAACACGCGACGCGACGACGCACGCGACGCGACGACGCGACGCACGCGACGCGCACGCGACGCGACGCGACGCGACGCGACGCGACGCGACGCGACGCGACGCGACGCGACGCACGCGCGACGACGCACGCGACGCGACGCGACGCGACGCGACGCGACGCGACGCGACGCACGCACGCGACGACGACGCGACGCGACGCACGCACGCACGCACGCACGCACATTTTCTCCCAGCCATAAATTGTGAATGGTCCCTAACTGGCTGTATTCCAGCTGGGAGATTGAAATAGAATCTAGAATGTGTTTTGATATCAAGTACATCAACAGAACTTATTAAAAGTTGAAATCTCTGATTCTTGTCATGGATCCCTTGATCTCAGTCATGCAATGTATATCCTTTGAAGATAGGAATATTAATGAAAATATTAATGTGAATATTGATATTGTAAGTTTTTCCACAAGTGATTCTATGTAAAATGTATGGTGTTCTTGTAAATTTAATTTAATCCAATTGCCTCCAACTTTGCCCTTTGTGGTGAGTTTGCTGTTGTGAGCCTAATGAAGCCATTTATTAACGTTATTTTTGTCTCTCAGTTTTGTTCTACAACCAGAACTGGCTCTCATCTATTACAACACAAGGCCATCACATAAATTCTCCCTATCTTTCACTGGTGGACAAGCACCATTCAAAGGCTGATGTTAATTCCTTACTTGACATGACATCAGGTCCTGCCCGATCTGTCCAAAAGGTACCACGCACAAGCAAGAATGTTGCCACAACAAAACCGATTGCCTTCATGATTGTTATTGATCCCGACTTACAGGGCCATAATAGCGCAGCGTGGGTCCGTTTTCAGTCAGCCGGCGGCTTTGTTGATGAACATGGAGAGAATTATCTCCTCTTTGTAAGATACTTGAAGGTAAATTGGTCACTTGCTGACGACGCAGGCCCGTATTTCAGCTTGTTGCCCTGTTGTATCCCAAGAGCCCTGGGTTGTGATTGTCGGACGCTCCAAACTGGGAATGTGACAAGCATCATCACTTGGTTAAGCCTCTTGTCGGGACTTTGTGGAGGGGAGAGAATTGCACTGATGATGGTCGTCAAGAGCTAGAAGTCCTTTGTTGTGGACTTCTGTGTTGATTGATTTAGGGAATGGTATTTTAGGCTGGAGTAAGCAGTATTACAGCCATGAATCATTCAGACTCTTTATTAACTCTACATAGGAGGGAAGTAGGAGTGCTTTCAGAAGTCCATTGTATTTGTAGTGAGTGTATGAAATCAGAATTCTGTACATATATGGTAGATATGCATCTTTGAAAGGTTTACAGTTTAGACTTTTCTATACTTATTCTCATTATTTAGGCTGTGGGATTAAGTAGTGTTTGAATCAGTTCAGGGGCAGATATTCCTCAACCGTCATTCCTCAGATGGTTCATTTTCAGCTTTTACATTTTTCACATCTCCCATAAATCTACAAGGCCAAGGAAGTTGAAACGTGCGTGGATGATGCTAGTGATGGTGTTTCTTAGAACTACTCAAAGTAGCCATTTTGACCACTACCCTAGTCATTTCTGCATATATCAGTATGAAATTTATAATGCCACAATTATGTAGTGTGTGGAATAACATAGAACATGTTATTGTGTTTTGGTTTAATCCGGCTGTGACTTTTGCCCTTTAAGACACATACAGTTTTATTCTGGTGTAAGTGCATTTTCAAACTTTTGAGTTTTTCTGAGTTTATGATGCTGACATTTTGTGTGTAAGATCCTTTCAGTAATATCTTAAAAATTTGGTCCCTGTCACAGCTTCAACCATGTTTGTGCTCTGTCGTAGCTGCCAATAGTGCCATAAGAGACATGATGAACACGTTGGCCCTCTGTCTGATTGGTGCCAGATTGTATCATTGTGTTATCTAATGATTGTATCATTGTGTTATATAATGATTGTATCATTGTGTTATATAATGATCGTATCATTGTGTTATCTAATGATCGTATCATTGTGTTATCTAATGATCGTATCATTGTGTTATCTAATGATCGTATCATTGTGTTATCTAATGATCGTATCATTGTGTTATCTAATGATTGTATCATTGTGTTATCTAATGATTGTATCATTGTGTTATCTAGTGTTATCTAATGATTGTATCATTGTGTTATCTAATGATTGTATCATTGTGTTATCTAATGATTGTATCATTGTGTTATCTAGTGTTATCTAATGATTGTATCATTGTGTTATCTAATGATTGTATCATTGTGTTATCTAATGATTGTACTGTGTTAACCAGTGTCAGGACAGATGGCTCAGATTACTTCTTTTTTCTCATATTACCATTCTGATCCTACATATTTATCCCCAAAGGGGTCAGGTGAGCTACAGAGCCTTGTGGCTCTATTTATGAATTCAAGGCCCAAATTTCATTTTTGAGAAGTCAGCCTGTTATAAGGACTCAATGATTCCATGAGAGAGTGAGAAAACTGTCTGCACTTACATTGAGATTAGAAAAGGGAACGCTGCTCTGTCTCTTATGATTATGCAGCAGAGGATGAGTGACATCTTGGATATATAGGTAAAGTTGTGAACTCCAAGTGGCTCAGATTCTATGGAGTCAATGGCTCCATAATTTGTTATGCAAAGTTTCATCCCTTACTCATATATAGTGCTTCTGCTGGCATTTTTTTTTCAGATGGACATTGTGACCGGCTAGCATTTCAATTACCGGTCATTTGTAAATTTTACTGGTCAAGTGATGACACTTTTCATGGTGTGTCTTGCACCCAAACAGCCAGTCAGAAATGTAGAGGGTATCACAATGCATCAATGCCACTATTTTTAGCCTGGGGTTTTCCAAAACTGCTATTTTTTATTTGACAACACCTTGATGTCATTGTGAAAACGTTAATCTTTTTCGAGGAGAAATAAAATTGACAGAGGTAATTAGAAAGTTGATTTTAAAATTTGCTTAAGACGATGACTGACAGCCTTTGAAATTACCGGACATTCTAACTTTGTACCAGTCCGGTATATACCGAATAATGGAAACACTGTACCCATGCTGTAACTTCCAGTTCAAGCCTGATAATGATTCTATACACCTTGATATAACCAATATACTATACAAGCAGCAGAGAAGGGTGTAGTAAAGAGATACATCCCCATGGGGGTTCTGGATTACAACTGATACCTAACAACCATTGTTAGCTGAAGAGGGAAAATACTCCATGGATCTGATACAGGCTTGACTGCAATACTTGACTCTAGAGATGAGCACAATACTTGTCCTATACTTTAACATGGCTTTAGAATAGTTTTCCTCAGCTTTCACAGAGTTGGGATAGTTGTAGTCCCACCCTTTAACATAGAGTTTTGAGGTGAGGTTTTGAGGTAAAATGTGGTTTAATGTTGTACTTATGAATATTTCACGCATATGACGACGTGCAGGCGTGTGTATGACTTAAGCTGGTTTTATAGTGCTAGCCCACTGAGATACCATGCCACAGTTATGCATGAATACCCCACTCAGACACATTATACTGACTCCGAGCTGACCAGTCCTTGTTTTACCCATTACTGCTGAGCGCCAGGCAGGGACCAACAAGTACCACATTTTAACGTCTTTTGGTATGAAGCGGCCATGGATTGAACCCGTGACCTTCCACTCTAACTACTACACCACGGAGGCGATTCATTATAAGAGTTTTGATGGCTATGGTTGAAGATGTACAGTTGCCGTAGCTCTCATACTTCCATACATTACCAGGACATCTAAAGCCGGAGCACTTAAATTGTCTAGAGGGATGGAGCCATGTGCTTTGTCCCTACTTTGTTTTTGTTGCTTCTCAGAACCAGGAGTCTGTGATCCTGTCCCGTCAGCTGGGGTAGTCCTGTTATATTGGGTTCATGTGAATCAAGAGCTCTCAGCCAACTCATCGTACCTACAAGTGGGTAGCGTTTGGGGGACTAGTCCTATCACTTAGTTCTCTGTGTGGGCCCAATGGGTCCCGCTTTCCTGGATGGCTTAATAGTCAGTCTCTGCCGTCTTCGTTTCTACAGGTCCGCTCAGTCAGTAGTGTCAATCCTGTTACAACATATCTCCCCCTCCTGATGGTTTATTCGACTTTAAGAATCATCTGACGCCAGCCGATGGCTGGAGGAATTGATCTGAATAAGCGTTGCTCATGTTCTAGCCATATTGGCCAGCACACATTACCACTGAAAGCTCTTCCCTTCAACAAAATGTGGGAACCAGCCATTTGTCCACGCTGAAATTATCGGGTAAATTGCTATTCTTTGGCATTTGTTTACTAGTTCAATGTATTGGTCTGCTGGGTTGTCTGAACGTTTAAATAGCTTTGCTGAGTTTGAACGCTGCGTGTGTCCATCGATATGGTACGGCTTGTACTCTACTTCCGACAAGTGTCCGTAGGGCAGTGTGGCATTTCTATAGGAAACGCTAAAATAGAAACTCAAACTGTTGTACTTGCTGTTTAGGCCTGACCTTTTGTGAATGTTTCAAAATTGAATTTATTGTGTTTTGGGGAGAGAGTCCTGTGTTTTGGGTGATATCATGGAAATGCAAGTCGGAGGACTTATAATCCATCTCAGTATGATTATAGATGATACTAAGTGGGTATAGAAACTAGACACTCGTCCTGCAGCCAGAACTTGAAGGACTAATGTTAAAGGTATCCTGAGGGCACGTGTAAATTCGGGTTTCTTAATGGTGTCATGTTAGTTGGGCTTTTAAGTTTCAAGTTCATTTCTACCACTAATTATGGCCCTAGTACTGTATTTGGTATAAAAAGTGTTCAGGTTATTTACAAAGTCTGTTCTTTCAGAATTATCAAGTATTTTGTTGGCTTGCTTGTTTTTCTTTTCAACATGCTAGGTTTAACGTGTTCATTAAAAAAAAGAGTAGCGATGCAATGTCTCATCACATGCATCCTTTCTACAAAGTTGTGTTCTCTGCACAAAATTGGGGCGGTAGGGTAGCCTAGTGGTTAAAGCGTCCGCTCATCACGCTGAAGACCTGGGTTCGATTCCCCACATGGGTACAATATGTGAAGGCAAATTTCTGCTGTCCTCCGCCGTAATATTGCTGGAATATTGCTAAAAGGAGTGTAAAACCATACTCACTCACTCTGCGCAAAATGTGCACATTCACAATAAACAAAGACTTTCGTTTCACGAGGAACAATGGATTTTTGTTTGGACTCAGTATGTGCAGAGCAGATATTCGAGTAGGTTGCTTAATATGATGTATACGGTAATAGTGTTTTAAAAGTGTGTTACACAAGTGAACACTGAGTAGACACTATTTGTGTCTCATCCTGGTATATATCTTTTATCATTGATGGGATCATCTGAGTTTTGGCTATAAGACTAAATGTTGATTGCTGATATAACCAATATAGAATGTTAAAGAAGCCATATCTTATTTATCTGCCGAATCAGATTCCTTTGTTGTAAAAGACAAAACAGTGGGGAAACAGTAGCAACAGATCACTGAAAATCATTGATGCCTGCCGTAAGAGGCGACTAACGGGATCGGGTGGTCAGGCTCGCTCACTGGGTTGACACATGTCATCGTAACCCAGTTGCGTAGATCGATGCTCAAGCTGTTGATCACTGGATTGTCTGGTCCAGACTCGATTATTTACAGACTGCCGCCAAATAGCTGGGATATTGCTGAGTGCGGCGTTAAACGACCACCAACCAAACTAATAAAGGTGAGCACCCTACCCAACTGGTGAGGTGAGGTGAAATTGGGTTTAACGTCGTACTTGAGAATATTTTGCTCATATGATGACATGCATGCGTTTGTATGTGTATGTGCGTCTGCTTGTACTAGCCCAGACTGAAGCTGGTTTTATAGTGCTAGCCCACTGAGATACCATGCTGCAGTGAAGCATGAATACCCCACTCAGACACATTATACTGACTCCGAGCCGACCAGTCCTTGTTGTACCCATTAATGCAGAACGCCAGACAGGGACCAACAAGTACCATATTTTAACGTCTTTTGGTATGACGCGGTCGGGGATCGAACCCACGACCTTCCGCTCTCCGGGCGGACGCTCTAACCACTACACTACGGAGGCGGTCCCTACCTTACCGGTAACGCCACAAAGATAATTTGCTAAAAAGAGGACGTGTTGTGTTTGTTTGATGCCACAAAGCCGTACCCCTGCCATGTGTTTGCTGAAATATGCTGGACAAAATAAGTTAGGGATATTGGTATTTTTATTATTGATATTTTATCAGTGTGTCAATGAATAAATAGATCATTATTCATAATTTCAAAATTTACATATATCCCTTACTACTTTTGTCCAGTATATATTTCTTCTGTATCCAAAACTATCTATAGTATCAACTCATATACCATTTCCTGTCTCTGCATCCAAGGTAAAGTGAGTGAGTGAGTGCAGTTTTATGCCGCTTTTAGCAATATTCAAGCAATATCACGGCGGGGACACCAGAAATGGGCTTCCGAGGTAAAGACATACAGCTATGGAGGAGGTACAGAACTTGCAGAAAAAAAATGTGATGCAGTGAATATTTATTTAAACCATATAAGGTAGTGGTGATGGGATGACAATAATTAAACATTCTGGTATTTATAACTGGCTTGAGGCTAGTTATATTATTGGGTAGTTTTTAACTTAATCACATGAAGATTGGGAGGAAATGTGTGTATTGCTGAAGCTATTTATGGTTTAGTATACGAGACAAATATGAAGGGTAATCTTCATCATATAAAATAATCCCTGTAATAAAAAGAAATACATCTGAAATCGTACATCCAGTGTTCAATATAGCCACTTGCCTGCTAGCCCATGGCTAGTAAAAATCCAATCGGGCTGATAAATCTTCACAGTCACTGGCCCGACGGGCTAGAGACTTTTCATGGGGTCATTTTGTAAATATATCACTCTCTCTGACTTGTTAAGTTATGACACATTTTTAAATCATGCAAGATTATGGCCTAATAAAAATGTTCATCATATCAACAGCTTAATGATGAAACCCGTGTCTACATTCAAATTTCAGGCTTGTGAATTATTTTTTGGGCTAGTAACTTTCAGGCATACCTAGCCCGAATGGCTGGCAAAATTTGGAAACTATTTCGCACACTGCGTACATCATCATACGTAATGACGTTTCATCACAAACTGAAGAATTTTATTAACAGTCTTGCGTCTCCTGTTGTTCACCTGAAGCAATATGACGTAATCGTTTTAACTGTGCACAATACATGAAATTACATTTATAAACTTACATTTATTCAGAATAACATTGGTGCACGATATCGGGTTGTGCGTGGACCCTGCGATGGGCGTTATCGTGGAAAGTGATGATTGCCTGTCTGAACAGCGACTATGATCCATTGAGCTTGTTTCATGTCTGGGTCCAGACAGTGTAATTGGCAACGTGTGAAATTGAGACATTGTTTCGGTGTAATTAAGATAGCCATTAAATTTCAGATGGATCTATGTCGTCCAAAATGTAACACTTGGAATTATGCTGTCTGCATATTTTGTTTTGTTTGAATTACTATATACATTATAGAATCAATTGTTAGTCGTGAATGGGAGACAGGCAGTCAGTAGTTTGGACGACACCACTCAACATACAGAGCACATAGTTTAGTCAAGGTCAAGAATACATGGAAGCAGTCTCACAGTCCCTGAACCACATTATTTTCCTTTCCGCCTAGCCCTTTCTGCAGTGTTAACTTTTAAAGCCCTAAATGAAGCAAGTCTAGATTCCCTCAGGTTCTGAATCTCCCATCTCACTGGGGCTCCTTGTCACTTTGAAGGGTATTTTTGGTTTCTGGCAAAATTGTATATATTCAGAGACTAAGCATTAGTCTAGCATTACTCTGTCACACAGTCCCTGAACCACATTATTTTCCCTACTGCTTAGCCCTCCATGCAATGCTAAGGCCCTAAATGAAGGCTAAGTATTAGGCTAGCATTTAAGTGAAATATAATAACATTGTTCTAGCAGAGACCATATGATATGGTCTCTGGTTCTTGCCTTATGGTAAACGGAACACACTTGCTAAATCTAGATGCCGTATCACCCATTCAGACCTGAACCAGGCCATATGAAAATGTCCAGTATGTAATAACCATTTGTAATGAGCCAGTAATTTAGAATGATACAAATTTAGAATAGTTATGTTTTTTTCAATGTCAAATAAATATTTACAATAGCTTTTAGCCAAAACCTACTTTTCTATTGTATGATACAGAAATATATATGTCATTTATCTTTATTCCTGTCCATATTGCATATGCATTTATTTGTTTGCTAAGTATGAGAAAGTTATTTTCTCTGATAATTTTAAATGGAATGGCATATGTGTTGTATATTTTAGTGACATGACGTACACAATGTAAGATCTGCAGGAATGAGAATTTTCCACGGATCTGTGGAATTCCGCGATTTGATCGCGCTGGGGTCTTTGGATCTGGCATTTGGGCACATATGTTGTATATTTTAGTGACATGACCCAGGATCTGCAGCGATGAGAATTTTCCGCAGATTTGATCGCGCTGGGGTCTTTGGATCTGGCATTTGGGCACATATGTTGTATATTTTAGTGACATGACCCAGGATCTGCAGCGATGAGAATTTTCCACAGATTTGATTGCGCTGGGGTCATTGTATCTGCCATTGGGACTCACTCATACCCACTCTCATCCATGGATCTGGAATTATCTGTCATCAGTATATGAGTTAGATTGACAAAGTGAAGATGGAAGGGGTCTACTTGAACTGGCTGTGATTGTGTCATTGTTGGCCACTTCCACGGGCTAATGGAGTTCTTGGAGTACATCAGAACAGATATTGTAAGTGTTAGTGTATCATCGAAACATTTTCCTTATAAAAACGTCTATGGGAATGATTCTCCTAGAGAAATACAGTACACTGGAACAATTTCACTACAGAAACATATATTCTTTGAGAAATTTGATTGAGGCGGTGAGATAGCCTAGTGGTTAAAATGTTTGCTTGCCGTGCCTTAGGCTCAGGTTTGATTCCTCATGTGCACACAGTGTGTGAAACCAATTTTTGGCATCACATGTCATCACATGTGGTGATATTGCTGGAATATTGCACAAAATACACTCCCTTTGACAAATGCATGTTAAATCATACCTCGTTCACTTTCATGAAGCGGGGAGGGGAGGTAGCCTAGTGGTTAAAGCGTTCGCTTGTCATGCCAAAGATCCGAGTTCGATTCCCTACATGGGTACAATGTGTGAATCCCATTTCTGATATCCCCTGCCGTGATATTGCTGGAATATTGCTAAAAGCAGCGTAAAACTAAACTCACTCACTCACTTTCATGAAGCATACCAGATAGTCTTTGGTCGTTATCTTTATATCAATCGAGAGGAATAAACATTCTAAACCCTCCTTTAAGTTGTCATTTTTAATTGAATATGAAATCAATCACCTACTTAATGAAATCATTTAAAATGTTAACACACTTGCAGATGTTAAGTTTTTATGAAAAAAAATATCTACAATTTAATTGTCTCCATCTTTTGAAAACATTAGCGGAAAATGATGAATGGTTAATTTACTTGTTACTGAGTTATTAGACCATGTAGTGTCTGTTACTGGGTGTCCGGGAATCTGAGGAATGGGAAGGAATCTGATTTACATGGAGACAGAAATATTTCCAGAATTACAGCAATTCATCAATTAATCTATTTTCCAATCTAAGAGGAGAAAAATGAATGTTTCCTGGTAGAATGATGGCTCCATTTAAGCTCAGTTAAAGAAGCTGACACTCATCTTTGTAATCATATAAAAATAACACGGAAGTTTTTATCGACAGCATATTACAGGTTTTGTTGTTGAAACATTCAAATGCTAGATGGGATCAGTGATGGCGGAGTTTCACAGCAGCTTGTAAACATTCGGAACACACCAACTGGATGTGGCACTGTGATGATCTGTGCATCAAGGCTCCGACATGTCAGGATGTAGCATGCTGGCTGACTTTAAAAGCAGCTGTAGATTGTGTGGAACACAGATCTCCACACCATGAAGAACGTTTAAGTTGCAGAGTTGAATGCAACTGTTAAATCAATTTTTTCAGGAAATGAATATTTCCCACATGCAACCAGTCGAGATATTTTAATGAGTGAGTGAGTGAGTTTAGTGTTACGACGTTTTCAACAATATTCCAGCAAAATCACAGCGGGGACATCAGAACCAGAAATGGGTTTCCCACATTGTACCCATATGGGGAATCTACCTGGGGAATCTACCCGGGCCTTCGGCAAACGCTTGCTGTATGGACTCAATGCTTGTATAATATATTGTTCAGAATGGCTCTAAGGCCAAATGTACTTTTTACTTTGTACTCCGGGGTAGAATAGATCCCAGCACCACCTGCTTTTCTGCTTTCAATATTTACAGGCTATCATGATATAGAGCTAACTTTAGCCTAAAACAACATTCACACACCCAATTAAGTCGGAATCACCAACAAACAGCATGAGTGCCAAGTTATGGAAGCCGTATTTGTTAGGTCAACAGAAGTATGATCGTGTATCACACAGAAATAAAATAAACCGTTAACAGAACAAATATCATTAATCTTGTAATTCGTGCCACGCGTCATGAATTCCGGCTTCCATCCCCAGCCTCTTGCTCAAATGTACGTGTATGTACGTGTTTACCTTTGCAATCGATGCTGTACATTTCGGGACATTGATTAAAGAGCTGACAATGTGTTGAAAAGCACTCAGAATCATGAAGGAAAAGCATTTCTCAAAATAATGCTAATAATGATTGCAACAACGAACCACTTGAGGTGTTTATCGTCAATAGAAGTGAACGTGATATTGGAAATCAGTAATGGTGATCTAAAAAAAGGGGTAACTTGTTTATGGTTTTTGAAAAGAATAATGAGTTCAATTCAAAGTGGATTTTGAAAGAAATGAGGGTTTCTTTCAGGTCTGTGGGTGAGGTAATATTGACCTGATATCAGTCAAAGTGTGACAGAGATGGAACTTGCATCATCCTCAGACGTACAGACCTGCCTCGGGCTGCTTTCACTGCACAAATTTGACTAATTTTGTTGATTTTTCAGATTGTTGTAAAAATTTGATGACTAACATCTAGCATATTTTCTCAGTTATTTATACTTATTTGTGAATACAGGGTTCAGTTTTGCTACATAAATATAATATAAGTGTGTGTTTGGGTCACGGATGGTATAGTGTGTGTTTGGGTAAAACAACAACTAAACACACACACACACACACAAATAAAACAACACACACACAAATAAAACAACAACACACACACACTCAATCACACAAACAGCCACACAGACAGAAAGGCATGCACACACGCTTGCACAGAGAAAGCACACACTCACTCACTCATTCTCACTCACTCACTCTCACCCACTCACTCACTCACAAACACTCTCACTCACACACCCACCCACTCACCCATTCACTCACTCACTCACTCACTCACTCACTCACTCACACACACACACGGAGGAAGACACATCACATTGTCAGTGATCATTAATGAGACTTTAAACCCGGCATTACCTTTCATCTCAATTCACCTAGTAGTTTATATCAGAGACTCAGTTAAAAAGAAACAATGCTATCTGTCAGCCATGTAAACTACAGTACATTAGGAGGTATTTTTACCTAGCTGTTGACTCTTTCTGACTCACTTTATGTTGTTCTATGCATCATAAATGTACTTCAGAAACCACTCATGTGTGTTACCTTCCGTCTACTCGTTATTGGCAACTGAAGTATGAACGGAATGCGTATCTCGATTAGAGAATGCTACAGCTAAAAAATATATATCTGTTCATTTTGTTTTTGAAAGAACTAGTCTTAACAATTAAAAATATTTTGAGACAATATTCATAAAAATATTATGAGTATTTTTCAAAATTAAAGTGTGCGAGATTCCAACATCACAGTTTTTCAGTTTTCTCCTGATCTGAAATTCCAGTTGGTTGTATGTTATGTCGCACTTTACCAAATGATGCCACAACGTGTTTGCTTTCAGTTTCCCAACCCACCCAGTTGAAGACAAAATCAGTTTGAATTTAGCATAATAGAAACAGCTTGGTGAGGCTGGAAGCTTGTGATATTTTCTTTTGAGATGAATCTTTTCTTAAGCATTTTTCAACTGTGTTTGAGTTATGGATTCACAATGCCAGTTAGAAAGTGGTCAGATGTAACATATGTTATATTTGGGATTACACTCTCTCAGTAAAGTACAGATTCTAGTACTTTTGTTGGGTTGAGTCCCCTTCGGGATTCGAACCCAGACCCTCAGAGATCAATTCTAACCCGGACCTTCACGGGTCTCCTTTACTAGGAAAGTGTAATCCCAAGTATAACATATGTTGTGTTGTTGTATTACATTCTCCCACTTTAAAGTGGGAGGAGAATTTGAAGTGTAGCAGTACAGCCTTTATCCCTTTGGTGAACCATCAACACAAGAGTGGTACTGACAAATTTATTGGTAGTCAGGGCGAATCTGGCTTTCCTACCCTCAGTCATCAGATTCTTGCCTCCTGAAGAAGAGATTCATCACAGCAAAAGGCGGACTGAATAGGGTGTATAACCATTAAAAAAGCATTTATCAAGTCTTAGCTGATGTAACAATAAGAATGCAGTGACTTATGTCCCATCTATTTTCATGACTTAAGATACCCGTGAAGATTCGGGTTAGAATATTGATCTTCAGTAACCCATGCTTGTGGTAAGAGGCGACTAGCGGGATCGGGTGGTCAGACTCACTGACTTGGTTGACACATGCCATCGGTTCCAAATTGCGCAGATCGATGCTCATGCTGTTGATCACTGGATTGTCTGGTCCAGACTCGATTATTTACAGACCGCCGCCATATAGCTGGAATATTGTTGAGTGTGGCGTAAAACTAAAGTCACTCATGACTTAAGAACGCAGCACAGCAAAATGCAGACTGAAAATTGTGTATGACCATAAAAAAAACTCTATCAAGTTTGAGCTGGTGGGGTAGCCTAGTGGTTAAGGCGTTTGCCTGTCACGCCGAAGACCCGGGTTCAATTCCCCACATGGGTACAATGTGTGAAGCCCATTTCTGGTGTTCCCTGCCATGATATTGCTGGAATATTGCTAAAGGCGGCGTGAAACCATGCTCACTCACTCACTCACTTAGCTGATGTAAAAATTAGTTAGCAATGATAATGATCATCATCAACAATCAATAAACATCAGCAATCAGGATGTTACGAGGTATAATAACCATCATCAAATATCAGTTAACACTATCTTCCGTCAAAATGTTATGAAGTGAATTCTCACAAATATCTATTTCCTATTTGTCTGTTAGAAAGAGGTTGAAGTGACACAACATGACCATTATTTGATAACAGTAACTTGTCTAGTCTGTGTGTTGAAGATTATTGTCTATGTTTTGAGACAGAAATAGCCCAACCTGGCATTATCAATGAGTGAGTAAATGAGTTAAGGACCCAAGGGGTTTCAGATGAGACTACCAGTGGATATGGGGGTGTCTAATTGGTTCGCGATCCAGGGATGGTCAAATTGCCATTTGTTTTCGATTATGTTTTACTAACAGTTCCTGCAACCTACATGAAATGTGATCAAATCCTGGAGTGTATGTTACACTGCTGTTCCCTAAGGTTTTGGAAAATATGGACCCAAGGCCCCCTCATGTATGATTTTAAAGGACACCTGTAATTAGATTCGAGGGTCCTGAAAATTTCAGTACATGGACATAGAAAAAAACACATGATAAATTCACTGCCATGTTTAATTATCAACTTTGAAAGGTTGAACCCTGTTTCCACCAAAACACATATCAATTGCATCTGCCGTTTGGCCGGCCATGCTTGATGACTGTGTGTAAGCTAAATATATTACGAATTATTTCATTGGCTGATAAGGCCAGACCAATTTTATTTCTTGTTTTATGGATCCGCCGGTCGTATTTTTCCAAGAATGAGAAATAAAATAAAGATTAATCTTCCCTGCTGAAAAAAATAAAATTTTAATATTTTTATTGGCCAAAAATGTAAATGTGCAAGAAAATGTTTTTAGATTGTTATTTTCCCCATAAACACTTCATAAATTACCAAAAGTAAAATACTTTTAGTATTTAAAACTGACTGACTGAGTTTAGTTTTATGCCGCTTTTAGCAATATTCCAGCAATATCACGGCCGGGGACACCAGAAATGGGCTTAACACATTGTGCCCATGTGGGGAATCGAACCCGGGTCTTCGGCGTGACGAGCCAACGCTTTAACCACTAGGCTACCCCACCGCCCCTAGTATTTAAAAGGAATATTACTTTGACTGGTGATTTTTATTATTTGTTTTTCCTCCTGCCTTTAGGTTTTCTGAGGACAAAAATCTGTAAAACAAGAAATAAAATTGGTCTGGCCTAAGTAGTATTCACTGCGAAACTGATGCAAGGATATGCAACGACACATCTGATTGGGCAAGAGCTAATGGTGGCGTAAACATCGTATTGTTAGTTTGTGTCAAGTTTTGCAGACGAAAAATAAGTTTAATCACAAGTTTAAGCACGGCATAGCTAAGTCACAACTTTCTATGAAGGTGGGTGTCTTTCGAAATAGTTTGCGCCATTAGGGAATCTCTGTGACATATTTCATAGTCGGATCCTGAGGGGGAGTGAAAGTTTGTTAAATGACCATTGAAAATGAAGTGTGCACCCCTCCTTTTCTCAATAGTGTGCATCCCCCCCTTTCTCAAAAAGCTGTATCCGCCCCTGAATTTTATGCGCCACGTGAAAAATGATTGCGTGATTCCCGCAAGCGCTCACGGCACAACACTGTTGCTGCAGTGTGTTATCAGGTATTTTGTTTGCTACCTGTTGACCTCAGGACAACTGAAGACAGGAGGATAATGAGATTGTTTTAATATAAAGCAAATGTTTCATGTATTATGAGTGTGCTTGGGTGGAAAGTTTAATTACATTGTATACACAGAGGAAGTCCAAACTATGTAAACTATTGTTTTGGTTTGTTTCTAT